AAGCGTTTACAAAACAAGCAAAGAAGTGGAGTTGAGGAATGTTGATTAACAGCAGATGATACAGTGGTTTGGGTAGGGCTGAACAATTAATCAAAATTTTATCAAAAACCTGATTCTGATCGGCTGCAGGGTGTCCATTAATTCCTGGTAATGCCCACCAACTAAGTAGTCCCAGTGAAAATGTCAGTATAGTTTTCTAAATTAATGTGCTGGCTGTATATTTCATGAAAATCTTGATACTGATTTGGGAACAATGACATTGGTAAACATGCTGTCAAAATATATTTACTGTTTGTCAACCATACACAATGTTATTGGCTTTAAATCTTGCGGACTCCCCTGAGGCAACTGGCTTCCATGTTGTCCATTAATTCCTGATAATGGTCACCTTGTTGGGCGTTACCTCTTATTTGTGATTTAAAGCTTGAAGTTGTGACTTGGCAACATTAGTTTCATTTAGGTTTTTCAGAGTTTTGCTGATGCAAATAGTAAACTTTTCTATTTGTGTGTCTTTTCTCTCCATCTATTAATTATTACTAGTTGATGTACAGAGAAATTTATAGATCACATATCATGGATAAGCCGGGCGTGGCAGTAATGTTTTTCATGTTAGTCTAACAGATGGGAGGTTGCTCCTCAGAGATTTTGACTGATTTGGCCTCAAGCTCTGGAGAGCAGCAGGTCAGCACAACACATACTACCAAAGCCCACCACAAAGCCCAGGGGACAGACGCAGGATTCAAATAGTGAACCACGGCTTTTAGTCCGGTCATAGATGCATTTCACTTTTACTGTTACCGGGACAAATCATCTGGTCCTCTGTCCTGCTTTTTTGACATGTTCATGTATCTGGGTGGAGTTTGAAGGGTACAGGATACAGGGTGTTTTCATGAGCCATATAAAAATAAGGAAACAGATCAGCTACTCAGCACTAGAGTAAATATAATGCATAATGGTTTACAGAAAATGTTTGCTTCAACAAACAGCAAGACATCTTGATGTTTTTAATAAGTACTGTGTGCTAATACAGTCAGCCCAACAACACAACACGAATGAAAGATAAAGTAGTTACATTTTTGTATTAATTAATTACATATTAGTAAATTATCAATTTTAAATTATTTTATTTCATGTTAAGATCTCACCTCCAAACCTTCCCAGAACATTTAAGTCTACTCAGGCTTTAGATTTAGCAGGCAGCTAATGTAACTTTGTAAAGTTACTTCAGGAAACACTTTAAAATCAGTTTTGTTTTTACATGTTTACATACAAATGTATGACAATTATGCAGTTGTTTGGGTTGAGTTGGCAGCAAATAAATTAACCCCAAACCTGCTGCTCAGTGTTAGAAGACTGCTGCCACCTAGTGTTTAAGAGACATAACAGCAAAGAAGCTGGTGGCCTGCCTCTGTTACTATTATGAACCTTTTTATTTTTAAGCATAATTAGTTTGAAGAACCATGATGTTGTTTAAATTTTACAGCATTTATAAATTCAGTCCAGAAGGTGGGTCAGAAAGTATGTGTTGGTATTTATTGGTGTTATATTTTTAAACCATTTGTTCATTCAAATAAATTACCAACCTACTCACTGGACCAGTGTATGAACATTGATTTATTATAGCAACGTGTTTTAACATTTATGATGCTATGAACTCTAAAAGACTGGTGAGGATGATTACGTTTGTGTAAAAAGAGTCATTAACCTCTTAACCTGGTGATATCTCTAAGCAGTAATAGTGACACCATTATAGGCTATCTGCAGAGGAAGATTAAAGACATGAGAACCAGGTGTAACAACCCAGAAAAGTCCTTTTTCATAGTCTTCTCACTTAAGGCTCTAATCTCTAATATTATGAGCTTTACAGAGATATGATTTATTGCAAAGCTATTGTATCTCTATGCATTAGATGTGTCTGTTTAACTGGTAGCCGGGCTACCCTGCACCTAATGACTGTACACTGTGCATGCACACATTGCACAGCCATCCTGCAAGTGCCCACACAGTATGAGACTGCTGGGTTCAGGTACACACCATGTGCAGTTTGCATGTCTTCTCTGTGTTAGTGGGTTTCCTCCAGCCACTGCTGTTTCCACCCACAGTCACCCACACCCCCACACCTGCAGACATGCAGACATGTAGGTTCGATCGATTGTAAATGTATAGAGCACCAACAGGTGGACATGTCTTTAACTAATTGTGTTGATCTATGATAGACAGGTCCAGGCTCTTACCCAAAACATGCTCAGTGGAGTGTAGGAAAGGTGGATGGATGAGAGCGGCCCAATGATATTTACCCACGTGTCCTGTTACCTATTTAGGTAGAAAATAAAAAAAATCAATTAATTCCTAAATGTTAAAGTAATGTAAAAGTATCTGGATGAGTCAGAGAACAGTATCCCACCCAGCCCTAGAATGAGCTGCTTTTGATATTTTGGTCCAGAAAACTCTGGCAAGATAGGCTACATATGAATATTTTTTAGTTTTGGTGGTTTTCATCTTGTATGTCTTGCATGTTCTATTTCTTTTATCAGAATCAGAAATACTTTATTGATCCCAGGGGTGAAATTATGATTTGTTACAGTTGCTCCAGTGTAAATAGAGAAATATAAGAAGTAAGAATAAGAATGAAATAAAGTGTGTAAATATAAAGCAATAAATTAGAAACATAAATTAGAAATGAAATGTGCATTAAATTAATAGATAAAATGTGCATTATGCTACTGTTTAACACTACTACTTATGAAATAAAAATTAAAATATTAAAATATATATTGTCACTGTGCCGAGGCTGTAAGTGTGAAAATGTAATATTTTCTAACATAATTTTTAATATATACTTAAATAGAATAAAACAAAAGTAGAATTAGAGTTCCAGAAGAAATATGTACAGTTATGTGCATTGTATGTTGAATTAATCTATACAATCAAGAGGTGAGAAATATTGTACAGCTGAATAATTGCACAGAATTGCACCCAATAGATCATCAAAATTTCAGATTCCATTAAAGGTTCATTTGTATCATTAATATCTGTAAACACAGCACAACAGACTTGTGTTTTTAATCATGATCACTTGAGAAACACAGAAGAAGCTAATTTGTCATCTGCATATTTCATATTCTCTCAAGTCATTAATATGTAGTCATGTAGTCATAAATATCGATATGTGATGTATATTTGTATTTGGATTAGTGTTGGCGGGTTTGAGGTGAAGGGCTGTGCAGCTCTCTCTGCCCCGGCTGCTGTATCTACATGCCTCCCACCCTTGAAATCATGCGCGGTCGTTTTCTTTGAAGAGGGCGCCGTTTTCTCCGCAGAGCCGCGCCGCTGACGCTGCTCCGCGGCCGGGCCACGTGACGAGGCGAAACGGCCTCTCCTCTCCTCCTCTCTCGGTCCTTCCTTCCCAGGGTTCAATGAGCGCTGCGTGGCCCCACCCCGTCTCTCTTCAGCGCTGTCTATCTCCTCAATGTAGGCTACTATTCTCGGAGAGAGAGAAAGCGAGAGAGAGAGAAAGGGAGAAAATAATAACCTCCAAGAATTGGTTATTCCTGTCTTTCACCTTCCACGACCAGCGGCCAGGAGGGGAGCGGCCTTCGCGGTGGGAATGTGCTGCTACAACAACCCCGCGTCCTATTTTTTGTGAATGTAAATGCACATGTAGTCTCAAGCTTGTAGCCTATTTACCCACCTCGGATTCAAGAGGATTATATAGCCTATACATATATATATATATATATATTTATATATACATATACATATATATATATATGCATGTTTGTATGGCAGTGTGTATGTGTGTACACATATATAGGCCTTATGTAGGCTATAAAAGCTGAGCCTGACAGCGGGGGTTGCTTTTTCACCTGCAAGAAACGTGGATACATTTCGAGGGATTTTCACCTCTTGGTCACGTTTTCCTTTTCTTTTCTTTTTGCCTTTTTTCAATGATTTTTCGTCTTGAAGGGATTCTTCGGAGCCGCGCCGGGAATTTAAAAAGTCTATCGGTGCGCAGTTTTGGAGGCTCGGTGGTGATGTGAGGGGCTGATAACACATTTCAGCAACAAAAGCGAGGGGCAGGGAGAGAGAGAAGGCCCTTTGGAGGAGAAAACACAGCAAGGAACAGCCATCACAAATAAGGAGGACAAATCGGGGGGTATTGGATCGTCTTGGAGTTGGAGGTGGTGGGGGATCCGGCCGAAAAGACAACCGCAGTGAGTTTGGTGCTGTTTTGGGTTGATTTGATGCAGCGAATGAAAAGGAGCCGGATAACGACGGAAGCAGTGAGAAGATCACACATGTAGCTCGTTTGGGTGTAAATATTATTTCCCTTCTTCCTGTCCTGCTGGGCCCCCCGATGAAGACAGCCGTCGGGGAGACAGAGAAATAGATAGAGAGCATAAGTGTACACCTATGGACATGTTTATCATGAAAGGAGACGTGGAAACGAGCCGCGCCACAGCACGGGCGAGGTTTTCGGACACGCCGAGTTCGGCTCCTTGTCACGGGCAGCAGTGAGACGCAAGACCCGGGCTTTTGGAGATGCAAATTAGGCTGTTTATTCTGCCTCCGTTTGAGGTGAAACCCCGATTTTTTGGTGTCTCGACAGACGTTGTGGATTACAGTTGTTAACGTTACACAGTCGACGGGGGGAGAGAGTGGGAAAACAAAACAAAAACTGTACTGCATGTTAAAGGAGGAAAAAGCCCGAGTAGGATTCAGCAAACTGAGAAGGCGGCCTCGGTGTCGTCAGCAACAGTATCCTGCCCTTTCTCTGACAGCAAAATACGCGTTATGGACACATAATTTCTACAGTGCTGCACCACGGACAGTTTTTGGAGCAGGCCAGGGACGTTACGCGGTGTAAATGTGGCTGACATCGCTGCCAAATCCGCATGTCAAACGAGGGATCTAGACTAGTTTAGTTTATTTATTTATTTTTCTTTCTACATACCCCCCCTCCACCTCCACTTCTTCCACCTCCTCCTCCTCCTCCCCTGGACCCCCTTTTTTTCTTTTTTCTTGCGGGAAGATGGGTTGTTTGGGCAACAGTAAGACCGAAGACCAGAGAAATGAGGAGAAGGCACAAAGAGAAGCAAACAAAAAGATAGAGAAGCAGCTCCAAAAAGACAAGCAGATATACAGAGCAACACACAGACTACTACTTTTAGGTGAGTTTGATTTGATTTTATTTTTAAATCGTAGTTCTTTTCTTGCTGCTTTACAGGCAAGTCCCCAGTCTGCAAAGTTAAGGCCCTGCTTCCTCCCTGCATAACCTTCTGGGATGTTGTTTTGGGAAACATTGTCAACAGTGTGACTTTGCCATTGCATAAGGCTAAAAATGCAGCAGTGTGTTAGGTTTCAGCATGTTGCCGTCAAATCGTCAGTCCACCACTACCAGCACCAAAACATGCTGTGGCAGAGTCAGTGGATTGGTTTGAGAGTATACAGTGATGTATAGGTACATATATAAGGTGGGTAAACTGCTGTCAGTGATCATCATAGGAGAAACAACCACTTATATCAATAAAAACAGAACACATCTCTTTTCAGCTTCATTAGTTTGGGACTACATAGCATGCTGTGCAGAATTCATTCTAGTCCTAATTATGCACATAGGCCTCAAAAGTTGACTAATTTTACATCATATGCCAGTTTGTGAGTGTGCAGCCGAAACAGTGTCTTAAGCTAATGTGACTGTAAGAAAGAGAACGTTGAGAACTACCTAATGTAGAAATGAACATGTGTAAGGCTCAACATGTGGTTGTGTGTGTCAGACAGTGAACTGGAGGTGGGCTGGGTCTCTACATTACATAAGAGACAAACAAGAGTGTCTAACTTTCCCTGCCGTGCTCTCCTCGTATGTCCACTTCTGAGAAGTCGCGGTGTTCTTTGTCAGAATCATAATACCTGATTACAGAGATGCCAGCGAGGGTGTGTATTGTATGACACGCCTGTATTTATGTTGGGGAGGAAGTTGTGGTGACTTTAGGAAAGCAGAAGGACAGGACCTACATGAAAACCAAAACAAAGATGTCTGCCATAAAAGTTAGTTGCCTTTCAGCTATACAATCTACTAGTTGCACCTCATCGCAGACCTGTGTACCTGCAGGCTGGCGTTTGTGATTTTTCATATTTTGGAGGATATCTTTAAACAGTGAACAAAGCCAAATGAGGCATGAAAGAGTCACTCTCAATTCAAACCTGGTGCACCTGAAAAACTGTATGTTAGGCCTCGTGCTTGGGTCGTGTCCATGTTAGGAAAAGATACATCTGTAGTGGCACAATCCATGTTTACCATGAAGAATCTAGCGCTAGAAGTGGCAATCAGCAACCAACACATGGTCAACTGTTCAACATTTGTGGTGTCAATCTTTATATTAATTGTAGGTGGAAAGTAAATGCTGGCCATCTATGTGCAGAGCAAAACATGTGGCATTTCTCTCCACCAGGCTGAAGTCGTTGATCAGTGGATTATGTGCTCAGAACTACACTGGTCATTGGATTAAGTAGATCACCTAATTAAAGTGTTAATGGGGTTGTTTCACTTCGAAGACTGACTCGTAGATAAGGAATGATGACACAAAACACATGCTGTATTGAGCAGTAGCACTTATTCTAAGTCTTGTGTTGACAAATTAACACTTTTACAGACTAGACTCTTTTTACTGAAAAAATGATGACCTTCAGGTAACATTCTTTTAACCAAAACTGATCTGTTGGTCTCCATTCATGGAAGTATGTTTGATCAGTTACATCAGTTTATCTTCATACATTTTACCCACTTTGACCCAGAATTCGATTAAATGTTTTATTAGCTACACACTATACTGAGGTGAACTTGTCGGTAAAAATCATTGCAGGTATTTGAACTGACAGTGCAGTTCTAATGCAACATCACCACAGTATTTGCAAATCAAAGGGACAATCCTGTGTGCACAAAACTGTAAGTGTTTGTCATATGGTAATGTACTACCACAGCTATCTGTTATTTACTTGCACTTTATTGACTAATGGTGTTGCATCCTCCCCCAGAGGTCATACACATTTTAGTGAATCAGAGTTCATGACATATTGCACAGTTAACATCTATGTCTGCTACTCCACGTATTTCCATGTCTCATGTTTTAGAATCAATAAATGTACCTCTGTTATCAGGAAATTCAGAGCAGACCAGATCTACCAGCTGCCATGCTAGCTTTGAACAAAATAATAGTCTTTTTACAAACACATTTTTGAATTGATGTTGTTCAAGGTATGACTCAGTTCTTAAAACTCCATTGGTGTCGTTTTAAAGTTTCAGTAGAATACACACAGACTGAAGAAATATTTACTGTTGGACATACATCCTTGATCAGGTTTGTGTGTTTTTCAAACACGCAACCCAAAATGGTTTCTCACACACACACGAAAGGCAGGCTACATTAGTGCACTTAACTATTTCATGCAGGTATTTTGCAAGATTCTGGGGCGTTTCTGCTTTATCAGACAGTGTAGTGTGGGAAAAGACAGGGAGATGGGAGAGAAAAAGGAGAGCTGACACTGTGACATGAGGTCATCAGTCAGATTTGAGAGCGTGATGTTATGAGTTCATGGTATGCGCTGTAGCTTGCTGAGCCACCAAAATGCCCAAGTCCCAGACTCTTGTGTGGCTTGTCTGATAATGAGTCTGACTACCACAAATGCATCTCATTGGTGGGAATCTCCAGCTATAACATCCTAATACAAAACTGTTGCAAACTACCAGTCAGTCAAACCATGTTAAATTAGGAGGGACATCAGTTGAGTGTTATTCTTCCTTTACCAAACAGCACAGCTGCGTTAGATCCAACATTGCCAATAAGAGAATCACCTCTCTGAGATGTCACATATGTCACATGTCTTCATATCAAATCTTGATATTGGGACTATTCTCAGCTGTAATCACCTGTTTTCACAGATATTTTTAGATATCAGTGTCAGCTATTGCTACTCTAAAAGTCCCCAAAACGTCATCAGGGGCTCCAGATCACCTGTGTGGAACACAAATGGCAGCATGTCCATCCAAACATGCCTCTTTAGTCACATGTTGAAGCTGAAATGTTTTTGGAGATTTAGCTTAACATGACTAGTATTGTCTCAAAATTAGACACGAGGCAGTCATAATTAAGACACACTGCACTGTAAATAAGAGAAATGTATTTTTCTTATTTAGATTTATTTGTTAATTTAACAGGGATGCTGTAGATTGATACACAGCTGTATATAAGCCAGAGTTAGCCAAAAGTCCATTTCTATTTGTAGGCCCAGGACAGATGTAACATACCCTTTAAAAAAAGAAAGAATGGAAGATTGAAATTTAATCAAGTATTGAAATAATTTAGAAGCACGAAGAGGAATAATAATAAAAAGATAACATTAATGTTTTTAATATAAATCTAGCCTCACTGTTTTCACTTATAAGAAAAACGACTATATTAGCTTAAAAAGCTTGTTAAGAATATTGCATTTTTAAACTTCATGAACTACTTTACTTTTGATTTGATATAAAATGTAGTATTGTAGTAAAAAGTATTTGCATCCCTTGCTCAAATAATTAAACATACTTGATTGAGGTAAAGTTATGAGTCATTGTTGGTCTTGACTTTAGTTGTAAAGACAAAGAGGAGCAGGCTGAATGAAAAAATGTTTTAAGGTCTGAGGCAGGAAAGGCATCGGGCCGTGTGAAAGAGCAGCAACTTGTTGCTCGCCCTTCATGCAGTAAAACACACTGCAAGCGTGGCGTTACAGAGCAAGAGATGAGAGTTTCACTCTTACAGCAGATACACACAGGCCATCCACAGGCCTGCAGCATACTGCCAGTTACGCTAAACTGCTAATGCTAAGGATTTGATAACTTCAGCATATTACTGTTTTGTTGTCAGCCAAATGCCACAGACAAGAACAATTATCACATTTTCCTTCCAGGACATAGAGACATATGATGAGCTCTTTTTTTTTTTTTTTTTTTTTTTTTTTTTGGTTGGGCATTTTAACACCTGCTTTTCTCATCTTTTATCAATCTTAAAACACGCTTTTATGAAAAAGTCTAAAGGCAGTCATCATCAGGTCTAAAATGTAATCTTGTGATTTTGATCACAGTATCTAGTGGAATAATCCAGTTTATTATTTCAGTCATGACCATGCAGCTCTGTCCTTGCCTCTACTCCCAGTTTTCCCAAATAACGTCACAGTCATGTATGAAATTTTCTGTTTGTTCATTGAAAGTTCCCTGTAGGGCATAGCAAGTCACAGCCAAAACAGCTTTTTAACTTCCATAAACATTTTAGTCAGTGCTACAGGCATACTGTAAAGTGGCATTTCAGACAAATGTTTGTGTCTTCTTGTTTTACATGTCAACAGATCCATAATATGTCCTTCTCTTTCTCTCTTCCAGGAGCTGGAGAGTCAGGAAAGAGCACCATAGTGAAACAGATGAGGATCCTACATGTTAACGGCTTCAATGCGGAGTAAGTATGATATGAGCTAAGGCCTACTATCTAGTATCTGAACATGAGCGTATATCCACAGCATGCAATGGATTGCAATATACAGACAGCCACTTCTGGAGGACAATCCTGCGAACCCATCATCAAGATGTACAGTACAGGCCAAAAGCTTGGACACACCTTCTCATTCAATGCGTTTTCTTTATTTTCATGACTATTTACATTGTAGATTCTCACTGAAGGCATCAAAACTATGAATGAACACGTGGAGTTATGTACTTAACAAAAAAAGGTGAAATAACTGAAAACATGTTTTATATTTTAGTTTCTTCAAAATAGCCACCCTTTGCTCTGATTACTGCTTTGCACACTCTTGGCATTCTCTCCATGAGCTTCAAGAGGTAGTCACCTGAAATGGTTTTCCAACAGTCTTGAAGGAGTTCCCAGAGGTGTTTAGCACTTGTTGGCCCCTTTGCCCCTTCACTCTGCGGTCCAGCTCACCCCAAACCATCTGGATTGGGTTCAGGTCCGGTGACTGTGGAGGCCAGGTCATCTGCCGCAGCACTCCATCACTCTCCTTCTTGGTCAAATAGCCCTTACACAGCCTGGAGGTGTGTTTGGGGTCATTGTCCTGTTGAAAAATAAATGATCGTCCAACTAAACGCAAACCGGATGGGATGGCATGTCGCTGCAGGATGCTGTGGTAGCCATGCTGGTTCAGTGTGCCTTCAATTTTGAATAAATCCCCAACAGTGTCACCAGCAAAACACCCCCACACCATCACACCTCCTCCTCCATGCTTCACAGTGGGAACCAGGCATGTGGAATCCATCCGTTCACCTTTTCTTCGTCTCACAAAGACACGGCGGTTGGAACCAAAGATCTCAAATTTGGACTCATCAGACCAAAGCGCAGATTTCCACTGGTCTAATGTCCATTCCTTGTGTTTCTTGGCCCAAACAAATCTCTTCTGCTTGTTGCCTCTCCTTAGCAGTGGTTTCCTAGCAGCTATTTGACCATGAAGGCCTGATTCGCGCAGTCTCCTCTTAACAGTTGTTCTAGAGATGGGTCTGCTGCTAGAACTCTGTGTGGCATTCATCTGGTCTCTGATCTGAGCTGCTGTTAACTTGCCATTTCTGAGGCTGGTGACTCGGATGAACTTATCCTCAGAAGCAGAGGTGACTCTTGGTCTTCCTTTCCTGGGTCGGTCCTCATGTGTGCCAGTTTTGTTGTAGCGCTTGATGGTTTTTGCGACTCCACTTGGGGACACATTTAAAGTTTTTGCAATTTTCCGGACTGACTGACCTTCATTTCTTAAAGTAATGATGGCCACTCGTTTTTCTTTAGTTAGCTGATTGGTTCTTGCCATAATATGAATTTTAACAGTTGTCCAACAGGGCTGTCGGCTGTGTATTAACCTGACTTCTGCACAACACAACTGATGGTCCCAACCCCATTGATAAAGCAAGAAATTCCACTAATTAACCCTGATAAGGCACACCTGTGAAGTGGAAACCATTTCAGGTGACTACCTCTTGAAGCTCATGGAGAGAATGCCAAGAGTGTGCAAAGCAGTAATCAGAGCAAAGGGTGGCTATTTTGAAGAAACTAGAATATAAAACATGTTTTCAGTTATTTCACCTTTTTTTGTTAAGTACATAACTCCACATGTGTTCATTCATAGTTTTGATGCCTTCAGTGAGAATCTACAATGTAAATAGTCATGAAAATAAAGAAAACGCATTGAATGAGAAGGTGTGTCCAAACTTTTGGCCTGTACTGTACTTGGTTTATGAATACAGGGTTTATAGGAATCTTAAACGGGACACAGTTTTCAGTTTTATACATGTGCTTTTTGGATCAAACGGTACTAGTCAGCCAAAACATCATGAATTTAGCCTAATTTGAAGTATTTTAACACCAGAGAAAGACCTGTGTGTTGTCACATAACCAGTGCTGTTGTGTTTTTTAAGGGCAGCATGGTAGACTAGTCAGACAGCTCTGCAGGAAGGGTAGTTTGTCTGATGAGAGGTTAACTCAAGCCTGGAGTGTTATGAAGTTTTATATTTAATGTGATGTGTCACTGTTAGCAGGTAGAGATAATAGATACTTGATTGTGTTGACTAAAAGTGACTTTTGAGCTAATCTCTTTGCTGTTAGCAGGATAGCAGCTGCATGAGTTCAAATTTAGTATAGCTCAACTCCATGGTGTCAGGAAATGTATCTTCCAATTAACTTCATGGAAGGCATGCAAAGCCTTATGGGAACTGTAGTTGTTGAACACTAATGGTGATTGTTATGTCTTTGTTAAAATAACAAGATGCCAGTATAGGTGTAGGTGCGCATTAAGCTTGTAATAGAAAAGAATATCATGTCTGTACATTTCAGAAAAATCCAGCGGCCGCTTCATGTGTCTGACGCCGCCATTCCTGCAGTGGCAAGTTGTAGTGAATGCTGCCTGCGGACAGTGACACTGACAGTGTTAACTGGTGATTTTCAGCCCAGTGCATCTGTAGTTGGCCGTAGTAACTTGTATAAAAGGTTGGCAAGAATAATGAATACAGACGAGTATTAGGGGTGGGAAATTTTTATTTATTTATTTATTTATTTTGTAAAAATCGATTTTTATATTAAGCGCAAATTTTTCTTGGACGATTCTAAAAATCGATTCTCTCCCCAGAATCGTTTTTTTTTTTCTGTTTATTTTAGGCCGATTTTTCACAGATAACCAATAAAATATGTTTATTTTAAAACACGCTTCTCTGGCTCTGATGCTGCTGTCTCTATGCCCGAAGTCCTTACTCTTGGCTGTATAACAATGTCCCGCCTACAGCCCCCACTGATTGGTTACACTGATTGGTTACACGGCACAGTGATAGCCAATCAAGACTGAAACTTCTACGTGCAGCGGCATAGACTTGGAGGAGAGGCAGACTGCCCCGTGAGCCAAGGCAAAAAAAAAAAGATTTAGGCTGATTGTCATCAAGTGAACATGACCTGGAGGTCCTTTAATCAATAAAAAGAAGACAGAAGTTAACTCAAAATATAGCTGGCATGAGTGCCACAAATGTGGAAAAACAATTGGCACATGGTCCGCTAGCATAATGCTAATGACTTAAACTCAACTCGTGCGCCACCTAGTGGTGTGGTGGAGCCGCTGCATCAAGAGAGGCGGCACATTCATTTATATACAGTACAGGCCAAAAGTTTGGACACACCTTCTCATTCAATGCGTTTTCTTTATTTTCATGACTATTTACATTGTAGATTCTCACTGAAGGCATCGAAACTATGAATGAACACATGTGGAGTTATGTACTTAACAAAAAAAGGTGAAATAACTGAAAACATGTTTTATATTTTAGTTTCTTCAAAATAGCCACCCTTTGCTCTGATTACTGCTTTCCACTGTGCTTTGGTCTGATGTGTCCAAATTTGAGATCTTTGGTTCCAACCGCCGTGTCTTTGTGAGACGCAGAAAAGGTGAACGGATGGATTCCACATGCCTGGTTCCCACTGTGAAGCATGGAGGAGGAGGTGTGATGGTGTGGGGGTGTTTTGCTGGTGACACTGTTGGGGATTTATTCAAAATTGAAGGCACACTGAACCAGCATGGCTACCACAGCATCCTGCAGCGACATGCCATCCCATCCGGTTTGCGTTTAGTTGGACGATCATTTATTTTTCAACAGGACAATGACCCCAAACACACCTCCAGGCTGTGTAAGGGCTATTTGACCAAGAAGGAGAGTGATGGAGTGCTGCGGCAGATGACCTGGCCTCCACAGTCACCGGACCTGAACCCAATCCAGATGGTTTGGGGTGAGCTGGACCGCAGAGTGAAGGGGCAAAGGGGCCAACAAGTGCTAAACACCTCTGGGAACTCCTTCAAGACTGTTGGAAAACCATTTCAGGTGACTACCTCTTGAAGCTCATGGAGAGAATGCCAAGAGTGTGCAAAGCAGTAATCAGAGCAAAGGGTGGCTATTTTGAAGAAACTAAAATATAAAACATGTTTTCAGTTATTTCACCTTTTTTTGTTAAGTACATAACTCCACATGTGTTCATTCATAGTTTTGATGCCTTCAGTGAGAATCTACAATGTAAATAGTCATGAAAATAAAGAAAACGCATTGAATGAGAAGGTGTGTCCAAACTTTTGGCCTGTACTGTGTATATATATATATATATATATATATATCGTTCCAGCCCTAACAAGTATGTTTTTCTGTACACGTTCTGTTCGTCTTGACTCTCAGTCATTTAACCAAAGCACCAGACACCATTGTATGTGTTCTGTCTGTGATGCTGACCTGCTGGTGTTTACTTTGTGGTCATTAGGTTGCTCTAGTTTGAGTAAATTACATTATATTTCACAGATATGCCACATTGAATGAGAGAATGTATTCTGTGGGACCACCGCAGCCACTAGAGAGTGTCTTAGCCCACTAACGTCAGCTAGCTTAACAGTTTTTTTTCCCCCTAAAAGATTGCCACTACTGTTGGAGCAGCTGAGCACTGCACAGTTTCCTCCCAAACTCTTAGACATTGTTGTTAAAAGTAACGGTGCATAGAAATGATAAAAGTAGTAAATTGTACACTTAGGGCAGCTTGAATCCAAACATTTATGTATTGTGTCACTGTAGTAATGGCGTCTTGCTAACTTGCGGTACTCCCCTGCATTTGTCTATAATGCTTCCATGTTTTTGTCTAAACTGTCGGGACATTTTTGTTCAAACACTAATCTGGTGTTTTTGCAGCTCCATGAATACAGTGCAGGTGGAACTCTTTGTGAGTTCTTTTTTTTCTTAGCACCACTTTATGGAGTTTGAGTCTTGGGGTGAATAACCAATCAGTCGATCCAATCAGAGCTGATCATATCAGATTGATAAACGAGAGGAGCAGCTGCTACAGAGGCAAGTGATAGCAAATTTTAAGAACCAGCGTAATGAACAGTCAAGTTTCACTTTCACTGGGCCTGACACTCGGCTGCTCTGTCTGTGCCCAGTTAGCTCTACGCC